CTAACGATGAACAGTTGCTCATAAAAACATTTGCGTGATTAGAATCTCCAATGTTTGTCAAGAACAACAACACTTAATTGTTGTTTCCCATGTGTACAATAATAAGTAAAAAAAAACTTTGTGTGGTCTGAACGTGTTGGGCTAGAGACCTACTGGAAACCCTTACAGGCTTTTTAATGAGAATAGAGAATGTTTTATCTGGCAGAATCTGCAACTGTTCACCTTTAGTTGCAACCGACGGTATTTGACAGCATAAAATTGCCTGTGGCTGTGATAACTGATATAAATAAAATACAGTCTGGTTATACTGACTTGAGCGTGTCTTGACAAACTCTTTATTGGAAAATTGTGAAGAAACAGTCGAATATAGAGGGTCGAATATCATACTTCAACTCGTATAGCTACAGTAACATTAGTAGATTACTACATAGCGTTGTGAAGACAAGCCTTTTCTTACCTTTCGCTTCAGCAGTCTTTTCCATGCTTCTCTACGCTTTCCCAGGCGAGCTTCTCTTTCCTCAGCAGTCTCCTCGAGCAAACGTTGTCGTCTTCGCTCCCTCCTTTTCGCTAGACGTTCGGCTTTCTTGTCGTTTCCTTGCCGCTCTTCATTTGGCTCCATATCTTTTCAATTGGTATTTGATACCGTAATTGTTTTATTAAACTTTTTATAGAACAAATTGCTTTGAAAGCTGTCAAAGTTTTTTGCAAACGTACAAAATACTGTAGTGTAAAAAGCAAATTATTTTCATGGAGTATCTGTCAGTTGAAGTCGTCATTTGTCATACAACAACAAATTTTAAATTTGACCAATCAGTGTTCACTATCCATGACAGTCCGCCATATTTTTGAGATCAGTGAGGATGACCACCCACTCAACACCGTTGGTCACCCACGCCCGCGATATTTGATGAACTTTAGACTCCGCTAATGCTTTCGTTTCCCCGGGTGTAAATAGCCGGGGGGAATTAGTACCCTCGCATGGCGCTTCGCGCTGCCGGCTCGGGGATGAACGAATAAGATTAGATTACATGTGAAGCACGTTTTAATATAACGAACAGTACATAACTAATAGCAATATTATGCCAATAATACAAACTCACCATCTGTCCTTCGATTGTTCATACATGTATCAAAATCCTCTTCGTGGCACGCGCTTGAGAAAAAAATACCCATACTTTTGCAGGGACAGGAATTTCGCCCTCTCTATCGAAGACAGAAGCTGGCACAAGCCGCGACATGAACATATCGTTTCCAATTCTTCCAGCGAAAAGCTTTCTCCCAGTGCTTCTGCCATGACAGCAACAATGACTCTGGCAATGTGTTTCGACGAACAATGCCCCAAGGAAAGATTCATGATTACTTTGACACTTCCAAAGTTTATTTTACAATGCCAAACATTAATATAATCAACACAATGAGTGCGAACTCGCACCTTTGGCTCGGCTGTGTCAGTCTCTTCTGAATGTTTCATCAACGAGGCACACAAAAAACAAATGCTGAATTGATCAACAATATATCTTCCATTGATGATCTTTCAAAATATTTAAGAGGCTGTCTCCGTAAAAACCTCCAGGTCAATATGGGGCTCAAAAATAGATTTCTCTCATACTCTAGTATTTTGAAGATCTATCCTTGGGAACAACTAAAATCAATTTCATTTTACTCAAATTTCCTTTAAATTATTTTGGGGGGCGATTGATGTTCGATCGGCTGGTAACCAACTTGAACTCCGAATGAAGGCAAAATATCGACATATTTTCAGCGCTATTTTTTAGATCAAATTCGTACCTAAATTTCAAAATTTTTCCTCAGAAATATAGACTTATCCTTCTATTTTCGTTGGTGATATGACTTAGATAATTATTCTTTGGTATAAAATAGAAAACAGCGCAGTTATTGACCCTCCTGAACGGATAACGGATATCGTCTCAAAATATATCAACTTTGAAAGCTTATTTCAAAATCGTGGCACTTGATTGGCACATGACTTTAACTTTTTTATAAACTACTAACATTAGTCAACACAAATCGCCAATAATATCTTTCTGCTAATACCATTTGACAAAAATGACAAGCGCGCAAACTTTGTGAAATTTGAAAATGTGTCGAAATCGAGGATACTTTATCGGTAAACCTAATTGTTGATATTAACAAATAAAACCACCTTACACTACACTAAATGAAGCCTGATTATGTAAATATATGTCTTTCATCATTATTCTTTGGTTTTGCGCTCGAAAAAAATTGTTTGAGTACAGTTTGGCTTCAAGGATAGTCATTCAATGCCAGTGTGTTCGAATTCTGCGCGCCTCAATGCCATGAGTCCTGATTGTGACATACGAATTTCGCTCTGTTCGCTTTGTTTACCTCCTGTAAATAAAGAGTTAGGCATACTACAGACATAATTTTCATTGGTTTGTTTACCTTAAACTGTTATATAAAGTTTCGTTTTATAGAATGTACGAATTAATCTCGGGGAAAACCCCTTGCCGAAAGAAATGTACTCGCTGAGCGTAAACATGTCAATCAAAGCATATATAGTTAATATCAAAGACGATGAAATGTTTCGTTGCTCTGTGATTTCCCTTTCTTTGTATTGCATTAAATAGTAGTCTTAGACAGTATTGCACGAGGTTTTTGTGTTTACAATATTGTTCTTTTCTGTACTTATTCGCGATTACATATGGTGTTCACTACTACTGCAGCCGCAATTTGTGGTCACCCAACGTTAGGTAAACATAAATGATTTCGACAGACAGTAGATTTTATGTTGACAGATGAGAATGACGGTAAGCAATAATGTAGAAATGTTCCTTTTCTACTTCTGAGTGTGGAAAATTCCGAGACACAGTAGACTGTTCTTCGAAGTTGCTGGCGTGTAAGAATGACATTAGTCAGTATCACTTGCAAATTTGTTACCTTCTAAAGCTGTCGGAAAGAAGAATATAAATTAATTCTAATTTTCAGAACCTTTCTAATTGTTACCGAGAAAAGGAATAACATTGATTAAATAACTGAGACATTCAAATGGGTTACAGCTGTTTGCGCTGAATTGTTTTGTATTATATCAAAATATTCGCATATTTTTATACAATAAGGAATAATATAAATTCTTGAAGCTTAGTCTTGAGCAAAATGACCCAGGGCCATGGGTCGGCCTGAAAAATTTTATATACAGAACCGTGACTTATTTGAATTCTAGTTTCCATTGATAATTGTTTCTAAACCTAGAGTTGCTAGAAAACTATCCTGAGCGAAACTAACGAAATATTGACATTTGACACCACAGCGAGTTACATTTCTTTCGGCCAGGGGCTTTCCCCGAGATTTAATTTTATAAAACAGTTTTAAAAAAAACGATGAAAATTCTGTCTGTAGTATGACTAATTCTGAGTTTTCCAATTTCATTGAACATTATTATTTGTTAAACATGCAGGTAAAGGTATTTGTTAAAGAGGTATAAACAAAGCGAACAGAGCGCAGTATAGTATGTCACAATTAGGACTCGTGACATTGAGGCGCGCAGAAGACACTGGACACACTGGCATTGAGTGACTCTATATCCATGAAGCCAAACTGTACTCAAACAATTTGATTCAAGTGTCAAACCAAAGAATAATGATGAAAGACATATATTTACATAATCAAGCTTCATTCAGTGTAGTGTAAGGTGATTTTATCTGGTAATATCAATAATTAGGTTTACTGATAAAGTATGCTCGATTTCGACACATTTTCAAATTTTACATTAAAGCAGAAAGATATTATTGGCGATTTGTGTTGACTAATGTTAGTAGTTTATAGAAAAGTTAAAGATATGTGCCAATCAAGTGCCACGATTTTGAAATAAGCTTTCAAAGTTGATATATTTTGAGACTATATCCGTTATCCGTTCAGGGGGGTCAATAACTGCGCTGTTTTCTACTTTATACCAAAGAATAATTATCTAAGACATATCAACAACGAAAATAGAAGGATAAGTCTATATTTCTGAGCAAAAATTTTGAAATTTAGGTATGAATTTGATCTAAAAAATAGCGCTGAAAATATGTCGATATTTTGCCTTCATTCGGAGTTCAAGTTGGTTACCAGCCGATCGAACTTCAATCGCCCGCAAAAATAATATAAAGGAAATTTGAGTAAAATGAAATCGATTTTAGTTGTTACCAAGGATAGATCTTCAAAATACTAGAGTATGAGAGAAATCTATTTTTGAGCCCCATATTGACCTGGAGGTTTTTACGGAGACAGCCTCTTAAGTCATGGAAATTCCAGGTTCTTCTAGAAAATTCCAGAATAATAATAATTACAATTAGAAAGTTAATTAATGAAGAAGTAAACCTACATACATGTATATTTATTTCATCACATTTTGCATGTTGCAAAAAAAAGGGTTGATATTCCATTGTTTATATTACTCTGTTGAAGCTACACGCTTTTATTAACTTATTTCGAAAAGCACGATTTTTGCATTTGTATTCTGAATTGGGAGCTTCTCTCCAAACATCTAAAATCCAGGAGTTATATATAAAAGAAGAAAAGCTTTTTAATGTTGATATTTAGGTGAAACTACTTCCGTCCTTGCAGAGTAGATCCACTTCTGATTTTTATGCTCTCTTTTAGTACAGGTTGTTGTTACAGATTTTTGGAAAGATGATGTGGTTCGAAAATTTGCTGTCAGCATTGCTTTTGCTGTTATGTATATTTTATTCAACGGGTTAGTTTGAATAATATTATTGAATAATATTATATTGTTTCTACATACATACATGCAGGTATGTTTGTCAGTTTGTGTATGAAACAAATTAATACAAAGTGGGGGTACTGCCTTGCTCTTTAATTGTTTTGCTGACTGAGCGAGCGTGCATGTGCGTCAAATAGGAAATATCTTAAAATTGAAGGGCTTAAGAAAAGATAAATAAAAAAATGGAACACAGACATATTATTAATTCCTGCATTGTTCTGGTGCTGATTAATATTTAGGAAATGTTGACGACATCATGGATGAAATTGAACGCGATGACACATCTTTTGATATTTTGGAAGAAGAAGGACAGCCGGGCTGGTATGAGAAGATATTGGCACTGGTAAGAAATTAATAATTATTTGAACTAAAATATCAGGATGCGCGGATTTAATTGTTTTTATACACATTCCCAAGATTCTGAAGTTAAATGGGGGCCGGGACTCAAGGACCGACTTTACGCGGATAATTACTGTATGTTATTTGTTAACTAGATTAACATTCGGCCGAATGTTTAGATCTATATGTAGTGCGGCCAAACAGGGGGAGCACGAATTTGTGAGAAATTTACAGATATACGTCTCACATTAATTTTCTATATAGGTATTAAATAATCGCTTAAAATTTGAATTTTGTTTTACTTCAATACTGATCATACAATAAGTATGTTTTGCAATTTCGGCATAAGCGCTTCGGACCGACTCGAACGGATTTCGAAATGATAGTTTGATTTTACAATATAAAACCGACATCATTCGCGAATGTTACTGAGACATGTGTACCAATTCACCTTTCCACCAATATTCCCCCCATCATGACAAATTTGCATTTGAAATGGAAAGCATTATTGACGATTTTAATCATGTATTATATTTTAATGTTGTTTGCATAATAAGAGTAATTAAAATTGTAGTCTTCAAATACTCAGCATTCAAGCAGGAAACTTCTAAGTGGGAAAATGAAGTGCTTTTGTAATTGACTGAGAGAACAGCTTGTGCATGCTGGGAATTTGCCTATATGTGAGACTCGTGGATTGCGAGGTTGTGTAATAGCAATGCCCAAGCGAAGTTAGGCATCGCTTTGTATTCGCTGTGTGAGTTTGTTGATAGGTTAGTTTGTTCGGAATCACGAGTCTTTGTATTTATCCAATAAAATGTATTTGCGCTTGTGATGGACTTCTTTTGCGCATCGGCTCATTGGCACCGCACTGTCGTACTCTATATCTGCATGAGGATATATAGGCTTTTACATGTATATTCACACCTATATATCTAACTCGCTTGAATGTTCCAACAGATAAAATATTAAGAATAATTTTTAATTAGTTTGTGTATTTCAAGGAAAGGGAATACTTCAATTATATAATTATATATACATGTATAATGAGAAATTATACTCATACATTATAATTTACGGATTACAAAGAAACATTTCTTTGCTAATAATATACATGAAAAAATGGACCCATTTGCATTATAGATTACTGTTGATCTACACAAAAATTTCATCACAGCTTGAAAGAGCATCACAAAATTAGTAATATTCCAGAGTTTCGATGCCAAGTGTAAGTTGTAAAATGTGGATAATATAGCCTTGCGAAGTTTTCCGTTTTTCAGTCATTTAGTATTACGCACGGAAATTGACAGCCCAATCGGGTGTTGGGGCATCGCTTTCCTGTTTGTAATACAAAATGACTGAAAATTGCAAGTTTCGCAAGGCTATATATTATCCGCATTTTACAACATTTCCTAACGAAACTATGGAATATTACTAATGCGGTTGTGATGCTCTTTCATGCAAGCTGTGATGAAATATTTCTCTAGACTTGTTGAGATCAAAATTTTGTCTATAATGCAAATGGTCCATTTCGATCGGCTAAGAGCAGAGCTGTGCTGAGTGGTGATATTACTACCTTAAAAAATAAGCAGAAACTCGACGTTTCGAGCGAAGGCCCTTCGTCAAGAGTTAGTAGCAGGGATCGGGGAAAATGCACGGGCTTTTATACTAAGAGTATGAAAGCATCACGTGACAAATAAATAAACCAATTAGATGGATTTAATAATAACAAAGTGCAAACAAAATATGTAAATCGCATTACAGAATATAATATTAAAAATATAAAAATAAATAGGAAGTTAAGACAATTACTACAAAAAATAATAAAAAAAAACACGAGTGGGAATAAGGTAAAAGTAAAAGTAATAAATAGAAGTTGTCAATGTCTGCTATAGACAGGCAAAGATAGATGGCATCATAGACAAAACAGAAGACATGTCTTCTGGATTGTCTATGATGGCATTAAACATAAGAAAAGCGTTCATTAATGCCAGAAAGGTGAACAGTGCCAAGTTTGGATATGAGGCGCATTTCATGTCGTTTGCGGCTATCGTTGCTTCCAGAAATGGGACAGAGGGCTCGAATTAACATATCTGAAACACTTCGCTCGAAACGTAGAGTTTCTGCTAGTAATATAACCACTCAGCACAGCATTTTTACATTGGTACTACCTACACTGGTACAGACAGTTTTAGTATAAGAGCAGAGCAAATTTTTTGAAATACAGTATACAGTACCAAATTAAAGAAATTAAAATATAAAACAATAACAAAGATAGCCAATAAAATACAGCAATTTCCAGCAGAAATAGTAAAAGAAAACTACGTTTACGAGCTTTTAGGAGTGAAAAAAATGTCTAGTGGGTTTTTTTTGGAAAAACTGAATGCCTGCTGTTAATTTTTCCTGTATGAGCTTATTATTAATAAGTAATACTATAGTTTCTCGTGCAATTGAAAAAACATACTCTTGTGAGTTCTTCAAAGATTTTAAATTGCACTCGTTTTTCGGACTTGTGCAATTTTGATAAACTTTGAAAAACTCACTCGTGCATGTTTTTCCCAAATTGCATTTGACAACATGCTATTACTTATACTAATCACTCGGAAATATAGAACAGTTAGTGCAGTTATCGTATACTTTGTACACTTTTAAATTGATAATAAATGTCCATAAGTATCTTGAGCGCGATTACGAATTTGCATATATTTTTTGTTTCACGCGTTAAGATGTTATAATGTTGTAGATTATCAGTGGAGGATTCTAAATAATTATTAATTTCAAGGGAGAAAAAATGCAAAAAGAAGGCAAAGGGGACGAACAAGGTTTTGGCAGATGTGGCAATTTCAGTAAAAGAACAGAAATTAATTCTGGTTGGGAAAAACGGGCAAAATGTGAGTAAATTATGAAGTAAATTGCTGGAACCACTTAGTATTTTAATTAATACAATACAATAGTAAGTCCAAAAAGGGTAAACATTTTGAAAAGCTAGTATTTATTCAACGTTCGACTAGATGTTAGTCATCATAAAGAAGGATGGAATTATTATATATCATAAGTACACACCAGCATGAGCTCCACCTTTGAATTTACTATACAAGTAAAATGTTAAATTAAACACGTCCGAATTTATCAATAGGATGAATTCGCGGCACCTAATCCCTAACACTAACCCGAATCCTAACCCTAACTCCGACCCTAACCCATAACTCTAACCATAATCTAACTATTTTAAACTTTTTTTTGAAATCTAACTTTATAATTTTTTTACTTTTGTTAACTTTTTTTACTTTTTTAAACTTTTTTTACCTTTATAAAATTTTTTTTCAAGATTTGTAGAAGCGGATGAAAGTTTTAAATTAATCCTATTTACAAAGCATGCAAAGCAATTATTTTGTTACGTGATAAATTGACATGACGCGGAAATAAAATAATAATAATAATATTTAATAATAATTATTATTAATAAGAATTGATAATAATAATACTAATTAATATAAATGATTAATAGTTATTAATAATAAGTATTAACATTAATAATTAATAATAGTTATTAATAATTAATAATAATAATAATTTTTCACTTACACAAAATATTCAACCACAACACACACTGTTAAAATAAGCTACAGTTGCATGCCCAATCTTAACAAACCATCGACGGACACAACAAGGCGAAGTGTTGAAATCAGTAGATTACATAGTCGGTCATTTTTAGTAAATTCTTGGTACAGACCGCCTAATTCTGAATCTTGTTGATTTGACGAATATGAAATTTTTCTCCAGAAATGTGATTTGGAAAACAAAGAATTAATAATTATGGGAGATGTAAATTGTGACTTTTTAAAATGTCCCCCCGATGCCCATACTCGTAAATTACAATTTCTGTCCTCACTTTATCAGTTTGACCAGTTAATAAATTAGCCTACAAGGGTAACAGGAACATCAGCGACCGGGATAGATCTAATTTTCACAAACAGAGCTGGAAACATTTTGAATTCCGGTATCGTTCACGTTGGAATATCTGATCATAGTTTAATTTTTGCCGTCAGAAAATTTCGTGTTGATAAATCTAAAAAAAATACAAGATATTTTCGTAATTTTAAACGGTTTAGCTCCAATGACTTCTTAACTGACCTCTCACAGGTGCAGTGGGAGACTGTGGCTTAGTATGAGAATCCAAATATGTGCTGGAAAATTTGGAGTTATCTTTTCCTGCAGGTCTTGATCGTCATGCACCTCTTCGATGCATGAGGGTCCGGGGAAATTCCATTCCCTGGATGTCCTCGAATATCAGGGGCCTGATGAGGCTAAGAGACCTTCATAAAGGGAGAGCTGTTAAATATAATGCCCAAAATCATTGGATAAAATACAAAGAACTTCGAAATAAAGTTAACTCAGAATTCGTAAAGCCAAAACAATGTTTTTCTGCAACAAATTTAAGGAATGTGGGCAGTCTAAAGATCCAGGACAGAGTTGGAAACTTATTAATGATCTTTTGGGTAAAAATAGGAAATTGAATAATATTTCCCAGCTGAAAATTGATGATGTAACAAATATTTCTGATGATATATTGTTAGCCAAGACTTTCAACAAATTGAATATGAGTCCATGAATGCGAACACGTGTAACAGTGCAAATTATTATCAAAATCCTCGTCAAGACATTTTATTCAATTTCTCTGAAATCCACCCTGATGAAGTAATTCATCAGTTAGCTAATCTAAAAATATCAAAATCGACAGGCATCGATTACGTACATTCCAGCAAAGGCTCTTAAAATAGCTGCAAATATTATTGGACCATCTTTAACATGGATATTTAATCTTTCCAATCTATAAATCTGGCAATGCGAAAATTATCGCCCAATTTCGATTCTACCTATCATTAGTAAAATACTTGAGAGATCTGTTTTCAATCAGATATATAAATTTCTTAATGATAATTCTCTTCTTTCTAAATACCAGTCAGGCTTTCCGCCAAAGAACTCGACCCTTACCGCACTTATTCAGATGTGTGATACATTATATGAAAACATGGACAATGGTCAACTGAATGGGGTCGTTTGCCTCGATATCCGGAATAATTGTAAATTATATAATACACACTCTAGAACATTTTCAACTTAATATATATATATATATATATATATATATATATATATATATATATATATATATATATATATATATATATATATATATATATATAAGATTTGGTTTCGTTGGTTATAAAAACTTTTGGCAAAGTGCTCAATGGAAAACAAGAGCATATTTAAATTAAGGTACAACAAATCAACAAAATCCACTAGGCATCTTTATTACTAAATAGTTTCGTACAACAGTATGTGACACTCTTCAGATAAATTAACCTAATAACTATATAGATAAAACAATTTGGATGCCGGATACAAACCATTTCAAGATTTACTGTAGTCACAGAATAAAGATCCATGCAGAAGGGCCACTTACGTCGGGAGCTTTAAAGTTTCTGTCCTCGCGCATGTCGCATTACGCATGTTGGCCGCCATTTTGCTAGCCAGTCGATGACATTTTCTGGCCAGTAAGCACGCTGTACTGGCTGGCTGCTCCGCCTTCTGGACAGTAAACTACATATTTCAACATAAAAAAACGAGGACATCTTGCACCGCTGGGTGGCATTTCTGTTACTGATCTTTATTCGGAGCTATAGTTGTGTGCAAATTAACTTGTAAGATTTTCGTCCCTCTTATAAAACTTTCCACTACATAGTATGTATTAGATCTTTCCAATCAAATTCCTATTTTTAATAACAATACCGCATATGGACACTTAATAAAATTATGCATATGTTTACGCACGTTTATTAATAGACTAAAGTTACCATTAACTGATGTAAATTAAATTAAGAAATTCTGACAGTATATATGTCAAAACTAATGTTGCATCAATTTTCCAATAATAATAATTAGGCTTTACCAATGTTATTGTTAATTAATGAAGCTAAGATATACAAACAAGAAATCCACAAGCCCAACATAGTTCTCATCCCACAATTTTTATACCATGCATATAAATTGTATTGTTTTAGTTCCTTCGTTAGCTCAAACGAAATTATCAGATGCTTTCAATAAAATTGGCCCAGAAGCGGATGGGGCTAAAACTGGTTTAGCAAAAATAAGTGAAAAATGGAATGAAATACCAGCTGATAATAGAGGTGCCATTGTCAAAGCCGTCCAGACCTCTGCCACACTGTTTGAAAAGTTTGCTAAAGCCGACGAAGATCCGGTGGGGGCAGTAAGAGCAACCATTGACATAGTTGCCCAGTTCACGGCATTAGCTGGACCAAAAGGTCAAATCATCTCAATTGCTCTAAGCTTCGTATCTGGGTTTCTTGCCCTTTTCGGGGTAGGGAAATCAAAAAAGCAACAACCAGATTTCAGTAAAATTGTTCGAAAGGAAATCGATGCTGCCCTTAATAAATATTACGACAAAGTTCTCAGTGATGAAATTGCTGGAACTCTTCATAATTTTGTCATTTCTAAGGCATATGTAGATAGTCTTTCTAAGTCTGGTGGGAAACTGACTGAACATCAAGCCACCTCCCTTAAAGTGAATGTTCCTTTATGGAACGGTCTTACATTACTCGGCAAACTTGAGCATAGAATTAAGGCATTGTTGAAGGAAAACAAAAGAGAAACTGTGGAAAAACTTCTCAAATATATTGAGTTGTACGCAAGGCTTGCTATTCTCAAAGATATGATTTTGTTGCAGTCCATTGCCCTGCTTCCTGACCAACGTAATCGAGCTGCATTACTTTCAGCGCAATTGGCGCTACGTAGGAAGCAAAAATCACTCCTTCAATTTCTCTTTAATGCTAAAGTCGACAGTAAGCTGGCTGTTCGATACTTTGATCCTGATACCTATCCCGTCACTGATAAGTACCTGATTGCTTTACTCAAAGTCCCTGATTTCGATAGGTCACTGTCCGGTAAATGGTGTATGACGCAGAAAATTCGGGGGTGGTCTAGCAGGGATTATCGGCTAGGGTTTTTTATGAGGTATAGGCAATTAATGAAAAGTGGTCACCCATACGTTATGAGTGGTGGTATTACGTGTATTTGGAAGGTTGTCCCTCACGGGAATAACCTTTATACCATTGCCGTGACATCAGGGTGTCCTAAAGGTCCTCGTTGTGGTCACTACATGTCACATGATCTGATTGGCTCAAACAAAATGAGAGTTACAGTAGAACCTGACGCCGACTTCTGGGAAATAACTGGAGATAAGTTAAAACAGTAAGTTTTAATTTTTTAATGCTGTCTATTTGAAATTAAAGCTCAAGCTGTGTATAAGCATTCCAATGGTATTATTTTTCGGTTTTAAAACGTCTACTTTGCTTGCGAATTAACCTGAATATCAGACTCTATTTTACAAATAGAGCCTGACACAAAACTTAACCTGATCGCTTTCCACCCACAGCAAAGTTTATATTTAGTATCCAATCAAAATGTCGCAGGAGAAATTTAAATAAATTTCACACAATGACAACAACAATCTAATTATAGCATAGGCAGCCCACTAAACGGCTGAATTTAAATTAAAACTGCAATGAACTTATAAAATTAACAAAAATAATCACAAATTAGCGAAATATATTGCAAATGTAGCTTATATTAAATCGCCACCCAATTGCTCTCTCCTCCGCAGAGGTTTCAGTGACTACAATGAGCTTTACATGGCGCTATATAATTATAAAGTATATATATATTTAGTATACTTTATAACTATACGTCAGTTAGTCGATAGTGCAATCTGATGGCGATTTAATATAAGCTACATTTGCAATATATTTCGCTAATTTGCGATTATTTTCTAATTTTACTGCAGTTTTAATTTTAATTCAGCCGTTTAGTGGGCAGGCTATAATTGTAGTTGTGATCGTTTAAATAAAATATATCAACCACAACAGTATAATCTAATTAGCACCAGCCAATCAAATGACAGATTTAAAATATCGTTTGTCTAATCGGCCAATCAGACGAAAAAGCCAGAATCTGGCTTTTTACATGCGCCGCGGTAAAGAATTGTATCAGGCCCTCCTTCATTCGCCGCCTCCAATTAATCCTGGCGAATGAAAACATAAGGGCCTGATACTCAGGTTACTTGCGAATAACCTATAGCCGCTCAACGTTTTTTTAAATTAGACATGCAGAGATAATTTTTGTCATTTTTCTTTAACGACAACTGTCACAAACTAGAGTGTATGCTACCGCAAACTGAATTGAATAATCTCAAACTCATCAATAGTTCATCAGTAAACTAGAAATACATGCATGCAGCAACCCCTCGCCTATATTTTCCAAACATTGAATTAACATGAAGTATTTCGAAATGGCCAATACTGAACGCAGGCTCGCGTTCAAAGCTTGCCATGACAACACGATATTTTTAAATTTTCAATGTTTTAATAGTTTTATATTTTTTTGTACAAAACGGCAAAATAGTTGAAAAATTAGGACTTTTAGCTATACAACAATGAGTTTCCGAAAATATATACTGTAGGTATGTTGTTCTGCTTTTTGTGAGTTTTGATTTAATGTAAAATAATAAAATTTAATAACTTGAAACGTTTCGTAAATCGACAGTTTGAAATGTTCTGCATTCAGCATTCAACCTATTAAAACTGCATTTGCCGTCTTGCCGATGAACTGTTTTTACTTTACAATGAAACATAATAAGGTAATTTCAGTTCCGTCTTCAAGTCAATTTTCTCTCCTTTACATTTTAAGGGTTTTTTTCTTAAATTAAACAGGATAATTTAGTTAGGAAATTTACAGCTTCGCTCAAAAGGAAAATGGTTCATGTTTTAGGCAAAATTAAAGCAACAAAGTTCATAAACATTAGTCATTTAAAGCAAACTTGCCCCATTTTCACGATTTCCCATAGTCAATAAATTCTTCTCATTTCTTCAAACAAAAATTGCTTCAAAGCTCATTGTGGGAAACGTTATTTTCCAAATATATACTTTTGAAAATGAAATCTTGCTTATCCTACCCCTCACAAACAGCCATATTTTTGAGACTAGTGAGGATGTCCACCCACATGAACCATAGTCACGCGCCCGCGATCATTGATGAACTTTAGACTTCGCTAGTGCTATCAGCCTGTTGAATGAAAACAATCCTTCTTCTCAATCCTTTCTCCGCTAAGACGAATTATACTAGCAACTCAATATTTTTTCACAGAATACGAAGCAAGTGGGGCTGTGATACTGGAAACAAATGGTGCAATACTCACCTGTATTTCCAAAGTGAACGTGTAAAGCTTCCGTATAGATATGTTCCCGACCCGCCAATATGGGTAGCTTATTTGTCAAAAGGTTATGGTCGTGGTTTTTTGTGGGAATTCACAAAAAGTAATCGGGTAAATATATTTAAAAATGCTTTACAGTTAGTTGTTTTATGCGTCATAATGGTATTAAGTGTTACAACGTGATTGACCAGCGAGTAAGGGCACACAAAGGTGAAACGTTAAATGTGGTGTAAAAATTCGAAAAGTTTTAATGTAATCAACAATGATGACATTGGAAAGTCAACATGTAAATTTTGTCGAAAATTGAAATTGCTTCATATAGATGCAGCCAATAATGACATCGATTTCCCAAAACACGATGTTTTCAGAATGCACAATTAAAATTGCGTGAACATGAAAAAAGATTTTACATGTATATCCGTAAACCGATAAACACACGTAAGCATACGATATATAAATACAATTTCATAACCAAAGTTTATATGAATTACAAAGTAATTCATCGTATCTTCAAAGACGTTTTAGCGTTGATCGAAACTTCGAAGCTTTCTGATATTGCGACAATGAGCCAAACCAGAGGGTCCTGAAGGGGGGGGGGGTCCCAATCCCAATTCCCACCTGAAATTTTGGCAAAATCCCAGTCCCAGTTAGATTTTTATTAGAAATCCCAGTCCGAGTTATTGAAATCCCAGTCAATAAAAAACCCTTTATTTATCGGTACAATAAACAGTTTTAAGACTTTTAAGCCACCGTGTCGCACGCGTTATGAAATCGGGGGGAGGGGGGGTTGTGCCAAAGGCACGGAAAATTTGGTTCCATTTTCGTGTCACGCAGTCATGGAATATGACGGAGTATGATTGGTTAGGAGGTTAGGGTTAGGGATGGCGATTGGGTGAGGTTTCATGATTGTGTGACATGAAAGCATAACCGAAAATTTTTAAATTTGAATCCCGAAATGGCATTTGCAGCATTCTGAGACACACATAATCAGAAAACCCAGAATTCCGGGCGCCAGAGTATGTCTGTTCGTAGGTAGTGCTGTGAATAATATAGTTAACAACAAAAATCATGACCAAAGACACCAAAAACGGATCAAAATTGTATTTTAAAATACTTGAAACGCAGAAAAATTGGGAATCGACTCGCATTACCTCCATCCCATTCCCATTGTTGAGGACTTCATTTCCCATTCCCAGTGACCAAATCCCAGTCCCAGCAACCCAAATCCCATTTTCCCAGTCTAAAAATAGATCAATCCCAGTTCCCATTTTACCCCTTCAGGACCTTCTCAGAAGGGAAAAATTCATCCCGCCTAGCGCAGCCTGCGTAGCAGGCGCTTAGTGCGGGCGGGAGAAGAGAGGGCATCGTTAAATAAACGCCTGCCTAAATGCCTATGATTAATTTGTTCTTCTCCGAAGAATCTTCGGAAAAGCTTCCCATTGGTCAATCTCGTTAACGGAAGCAATTACGTAACTCAAGTGTCAAGTGTGCTTGCTCGCGCATATATCGAAAATATGCCGCCTGTTAATATTGCTTTTCGAGGGAATTCTTATATTTCAAGTATATAGGCTTCGAAATTCAGTTGAAACCAGAATAGAGAAAGTTTATTATTCATTTGCTACGTGCTGAAGACGCCGGTTATCGCGAGTCTTCCTACGGAATACGGAAAATCTGCAAGTGAAAGCTTGCCCGAGCGGCAGGGATCGAATATAAATTTCCTTATAGTTGTCTTGTTATTTGTTCACTTTAAAGTATAATTCAAGACCAGATAGTTGAGGCTACATCACTTGGCATTTAATACAGCTATGAGGTTGGATGGTGATGTTAAGAATAACATTTCAAAACATGCTCAACTGTTATAATTTTGCAGTTAATTTGCTATACGGCAGAATACGTTAAACAACCGTGGTTCAGGAGCCTTTTAAAAGATAAAAGCTCTGTGACTGTGTTGTGACTGTTGTCTAAAATAGCTTCAAAAACTCAATAATTCATGAGAAAGAAACACAAAGAAAAATCATTAACGTGTATCTTTATATGTGATAGAGATTTCCCTTGATTTACATAAATTTTAAGCTTGATTTTCTTTACATACACAACGAATTTTTTGAAAGCTATTTCGCCGATGAACTTATACTAGATCGATCGTTTTTGAAGCAATTTAAAACATTCGCAGTGCGTCTTTTATCAGACCATCTTTATATCTGCATGATAAAACACTGCTGCTCATGTTTTAAACAGTACATAAAATCTATAAAATCCCTGCAAATCTCCCCATAGTTGCCGAGCAAAAAGCATGCATGATGCTAAATATAAAGTCTTGACTATGATTGGATAATGGGTGAAGGTGCTAATTACAAAACGTCAATCATCCTTAATGGGCGAAAACTAATTTGTCATAGTATAGCCATTTGGGCAGGCGTTTCCTCAGTTCCCGCCCGTCAGCCAAACGCCTGCTACGCAGGCTACGCCTAGCGGGGATGAAGTGTTTATATCGCAATTTTTCATCTCGCTTAGGCGGGATCCTGGCGTCTGTTGCCGAGATCACTTCTAGGCGGAATAAGTGGCGGGATCATATAAACACTCTTTAGAATTTGTATTATGAGCGAGATCTCGGTAAGCATCCCGTCCATCCTGGCCGGGATCATATAAACAAGACCTCAAGGGTATATAGTGATATGAAATAATACACGGATGTTTTAAAAGATCTGTTAGCATTTTAATGCTTGAAAATTACAGAAGAATGCGTGACGTGAAGCCAGTCACGTCATAAACATTCTTAATTTAAGACATTGCGTAATTATGCTAACTCATGTTTTGCTATATTTATCTTACATGTAATTATCTAAAAATAGTATGACGTAATGTTTTATTAATATCTATCGGACAGTATATAAGCAGCGAAAGCTTAAGATAGTGGAAAATAAAAAGTTTAGAGATAATTGTTGTTGTTGTTAAAGAAGAAGAGTTTGATATTGTGAAGTTATTGTCGTCGTGAAAACTTAAAGGAAAGGAACTATATTATAAAGTGTGAAAGGACAAAGTCTGAAAAGCAAAGCTGTGTCATTGTCATTAGACAGATAAGTTTAAACTATCCTGATTCTTCGTTCTTTTAGTTTTCTTTTATTAATAAATAATATAAAAATATAAGACTTTTCTGTTTTTAAGTCTTTCTTGTTACGGTGAACGTAACAATTGGGGGCTCAGGCGGGAAACGTAAAACGAACGGTATTTTGTAATATAAATCAGCCTAAGGAATAAGAATACAAGTTATTGTAATTAGTTGTGATTTGCGATGTCGAAATTTGAACCAGAGCAGTTTATGGCCAACCCCGATTCGGGCGTGTTTGAAAAATTAAAAAAGGATGACCTAATGGCGTTAGGAAAGCACTTAAGTTTAGATGTTAGAACAGCAATGAAAGTAGAAGAGGTTCGTAGTGTAGTAAGCCAACATCTTGTTAAAGAGGGTGTCCTTAACGAGCCTGTCTTCCTAACTCCCGCCTCCTCAAGTGATGGGCCGGACCTCTCGGAAAAGTATAAATACGAATTTGAGCTTAAAAAACTTGAATTTGAGCGTGAAGAGAGAGAACGAGAGCGAGAGCGTGAGCGTCAGCGTGACGAGCGTGAGGAAAGGGAAAGAGAGAAAGCTCGAGAGTTAGAATTGCGTAGGCTAGAGTTAGAGCATGCTTTAGAGCTCAAGAAATTAGAGTTAGCGGGGGGTTCAGTAGAAGGTCATCCAGGCACGAGTCGTTCCTCATCATTCGACATAACTAAGCACATTCGACTCGTTCCGCCATTCCAAGAACAGGACGTAGATAAATATTTTTTACATTTCGAAAAAGTAGCAGAAAATTTGAAATGGCCAAAAGAACACTGGGCCTTATTAATACAGTGTGTTTTGACGGGAAAAGCTCAGGAAATTTACACCCAGTTGTCCCTAGAGCAGGCATCAAATTATGATACGGTTAAAGAGGTGATCTTGAAGGGTTATGAGTTGGTCCCCGAAGCATATCGTCAAAAATTTCGAAATTGTGAAAAA